AGAGAGAGAGAGAGAGAGAGAGAGGGAACGTGGTGGGAAGCACAAACAGCGTTTAAAGTGGGGAAAAAGAACGGAGAAAGCAGAGGACAGAAGCCAACGGAGTCACGTGAAGGTTTTGTGACCTACGGAGACGGGGGAGTATTAAAGGCTGCTACTGTTCGACCGATGAGATTAAGGGCACCTGGGGTCCACCGAGCTACGACAGGACGTTGGTGGGGACGTCCGCAGGGTGTCACTGCGTCTGTGACGGAGCGAGTGCCGGAGCAATATAAGTAACGTGGCGCGACGGAGTCACGTCTCCGTCGGAAGAATATTGTTAGTACCCTACTTCTACCTCGGAGTCTCACCAGCGTGAAACTTCTGGACTCCAATGGGCACGTCATCGCGCAATGTAGATATGGGTCGAACTCGGATCGACGGATCTTGCTGTTAAAGGATCGGATCATTCTGTGTGCGAGTGACTCGATCCGATCCGAATAGCTTGCTTCCAATATCTTACTGTCCCACGTCCACTGTGATTGGACAAGGTCGTGGACCCGTGGATGGGCACCACATTGCCCCGTCATCACCGCCAATGGCAAGGAAGACAGGTCAACCGACACCAGGTTAATTCGGACCTGGCCCATCAGGAGGTAATACGATCCGAATCCGATACATTGCTTTTATATATATTTCTCTACGATGCAAATATTTAATTTCTAATTGATGTTAGTATCTCTCAAAAAAATCATAACAATAAGAAATCTAAGGACAACCAACATATTTGTCTTTTATATATTTTTAATATATAAATTAACAATTGAGAAGCATAACTCTGTGATCATTAATGAGTTATGAGATGAGTCAAATCATTGAACTATATTTGTGAGCTTACCGTTGTTGACCGTCGTTCTCAAGTCAACATCTGAAATAACACCGCTACTGATGTCGTGTTATCATCTTCGTAAGCTAAGCAATATATACGACCCAATTTAATATGGAGCTTCGAACTTGTTCGGTGAACATACTTTAAGCTGGGAAGAGAGATACCTACATATCACGCAAGGATGGAAGCTCAAGATCCGGCAGACTAATCTAAAAGCCACAGCACATTGTCCTCCGACACATCCACGTTCAGTCAGTCAAAAGGATCCATTCATTAGTCAAACTTGCAGGCTTCAATAAACAAGACGGCACATGCCGGTGCCATGAAGAAGACGGCACATCCCGTTAACCCCACATTCCTTTGGGGCAATCGAAGGGATTCGCATTTGATTTGGATATAATTAATGATCTTAAACTGCTATTGATTTTTAATCTGGATTAAGGAACATACACTAAAAATTGCATTTTTACAAGCACTTCATCCACAAGTCGGAGAAGCCAAAGAGAAAGGGATGTCTCGATTGTTTTCCTGCTTATAATTTTCTTATCAAACACTCTTAACACTGTGTTGCCGCAATCTTCTCTCTCTCTCTCTCTAACAATATTTATTGTCATTCTCTCTACTTTATCTACTTTTGCTTTTCTTAATCGTCCTGAATTTTTCTCTCATCATCATTCTTTACTGTGATACTCGACATCACATGCTATTGATTTATTTTCCTATCACCCAAAAACAAAAATAGTTTTATCTTCTGATCATCTAATTTTTAAAATTAAATAAAATTTCATCATTTATGCGTATGATATTTTATTGAGTCCTCAAGAAATTGCAGAAAAAATTCGCATCCTATGAAGATTTCATGGTTTCTTGAAGCAACAGAAATCGCCTGGAAAAAGGTTACCCAATCCCTCTGTTTTCAACTGGTGCCTGCTGCAGACAACCAGGAAGAACAGGAGCACAGTGACATGCAGGTGGTGATTCTTGCTTGAAACAACAGGGTCTTGATGTTACACTACGTGTCAACCTCACGCCGGACAGTGATGTCTCATGGGTTCAGATTTCTCCAAGCAGCTGGGACACACACAAATCTGGATCCATCTGTATCTGATATGAAGACTACATCTTATACTTTGATTCTTCCAACTGTACTAAACTATAGGTCTGCTATGCTACTACTTCATCTAAGTCTCCCCTTGACTCGCCCCAACTCATACTATCCTGTCTCTAAGCCTATCTTGACTGTATCTGAGCCTATATCTCTGAGTTTTCGTTCTGTAACTCTCCCGCCTCTAAGCATGAAGCAGCTACTAAATGGCAATTCCGAATCTCAGTGGCTAACGCTCCAAGCACGGCACTTTTACGCTTGACTTTCTTCGGTCGGATTCGGCCCACTCATATTTGATAAAAACATAAAGAAAAGGTCGAAGAGAACGACAGTTCAGTGTGCGGTAATCTTGAAGCCACTGCAAACACCATAAAAAGATTGCCAAACAAGATCCATCGGCATGACTGGAGATCGAGTTCTGTTGAAGCATACACCTGCAGCCAGTGTTCGGTAAGTGTATATTTCAGAGATCGTGTAGCATTGTTTTCGTCCTACACCATTATGCTGTGTGGAGAATGATGCATGGCGAGCTTTAATCCGCATGTCTCTGCACAACGTCAAAGCGTTTTACGGTGCTTCATCCCGGTCCTAACGAGCATCGGGATCGTTAGTGGCCGGGGAGGTGGGCTCGGAGGCTTCGATGTTCCACAGAAAAGGGTCCACGTCGTGGATGTCGCACATAAAAGAGTCCAGGGTGTTGAACAAGAAGAAGGTGGGGTCGTCGTCGGCCGTGTTGTGCCCCAGCGGGTGTCCGGCCGCCAAGAAGTCGTCTAAGGAGCACCTAAACATGAAGTGGTTCCACACGGGGAACGGCAGCCACTCGTCGCGGGAGGCTTCGATGACCTCGACCGTCCGCGGGCTGACCGCATAGTCGTCTCTGGAGAGGCGCTGCAAGGAGTACCAGGTCAACGAAGCAGAGAGGCACCAGCCGAAGCAGCTCCTGAAGCGGATTCGTTGCTGGTTTCCGGCGTTGGTGATGACCTCGATGGTCCACCGGGCGCCGATCGAGGAGCCGTCTAAGCGCAGACGCAGCTGGTCGCCCTCCGCCACCAGGTAACTGTTGGTGTGGAAGCTCCGTATGTGGTAGGCAGTCGCCGTCCGGAACGTCTGGACTAATCGGTCTGTAAACAAGAATCGATCGAGGGAAAGCTCTTCCAACACCAAGAAACAGAGCTCAAGAGGCGAAGGAACTCACGAGGAAAAACGGCCATGAACACCTCCAGATAATTGTGGACCTCGTACAAGGGTGGCAGCTCCTCATCGAGAGGCATCAACAACCTGGTGTGGCAATTGCGGGCGCACACGTATATGTCCTCGGTCCTTATTTCCTTCTTCAATCTCCTGATGAGCTCAGAAGTGCTGGTTCCGGTGAACGTCAAGTTTCGAGCATACGCCTCATTCAAAACGCCACGATCATCTGCGACGACGTAGGTGATTTCCCGATCCATCACCTGTGAGTTGAGCACAGAAAAGCAGGTAGGTGACCGTGGGCAGCAAGAAGATTCCACGATTAGCTTTGCTTCGAAAAGATTCATAAGCTTGGGAAAGAATGCAGTCCAAGAACCATCAAGATCAGCAAGAATAGAGCGATGATCATCCAACAGACCTCGTATCTGGAATAGGATGACGAGGTAGGAAGAGCGGGAGCAGCGCCATGGATCACCGCGGAGGGGACCAGCGATGCCGTGGCCGAGGAGGCAGCAGCTGCATTGGTGGGTGAGGAGAGGGTGGCTGCCATGGTGGAGGAGGAGGAAGCCTCTGCAACGCCTGTGAGGAATCGGGTGGGAACGTTGGAACGATAGGACGGTCCCGCTGGCGCGAAGGACGAGGAGGGTCCGGCTGCCATGGAAGAGGGCGCCGGTGCTGCTGCTTGGGGCGGCGGCAGGAGTGGCGGATGCTCCGCCTCGAGGATTTCAACGTCCCAGTAAAACGGGGCCCGGGATCTCTGCCACGACGGCGTGTGGAGCGTCACGGACGCGCGCCACGGCAGGTGGCGGTCCTGCGCCCGGAGATAGTCGGCGTCGTTGCACCTGAGAAGGACGTGAGGGCCGACAGCGAGGGGCTGCCAATCGCCGCGGACGCCGACGTGATCGGGGAGCTGCTGGGAGACCGTATTGTTGTCGGCGGCGAGGTAGCGATTCCACGAGCTCCGGAAGCGGAGCCGCTGCTCGTTAGCGATGATCTCGACGGTCCACCGGGCGCCATCCGAGAAGCCATCTTGGTCCATCCCCACGCGAGTCGTGTCTTCCTTCGCCACGAGGTACTTCTGGTAGAAGCTCCGCAGGCGGATTACTCTCGCCCCCGCAAAGAAATCCATGGCCGACTCCTGCAAGCAAGAAACCATAAGGTGTTCGATCCCAAGAACCCAAGACTATTATGCTTGCTTACCTCAATTCCAAGTGCCGGAGGAGAGAGAAAGAAATAAGGAAGGGAAGAATAGCTTAGTGAGAGGAGGAAGTTTAATGGGTTTCACTATACATAATATAATATATATATATTGTGGGTTTGATTTCATTTCACACTGCTAATTTTCTTGGTCTCAAAATTGGATATAAATTGTATAGCCTATGCTGCAATTTGACTGACTTAAGAGAGAGAAAGAGATTGGCGGGAACGCCCAACTGTAACCACCTTAAATATCCGATACGTTCCCCTCTCTCTCCTTCCTCTCTGAAGCCATTCTTCCATGTACTCTCTCTCTCTCTCTCTCTCTCGCTCTCTCTCTCTCTCTCTCCTTGTCATGCATCCAAAATCTTGGATTCTTGGTCTCAAAAGACGTGGTCGACTTCTCGTTCTCAGGGTAGCCCATGGAGTTCTTCGCGGGAACGCGAGTCGTCCGTTTGCAGAGCATCCACAATAAGTACCTGGTGGCAGAGGACGACGAGAGGCGCGTGAGCCAGCACCAGGATCGCTCCTCCAGCGGTGCTCGGTGGACCGTCGAGGTCGTCACCGACATCCTCCACCAGCCCTGCCTCCACCTCGAGAGCTGCCACGGCCGCTACCTCGCTGCGCCCCTTAGGAACTGCGCCTTCCTCCGCCTCGCCGGTACGAAGGCCGCCCAGACGTTCCCAAGGTGGACAGCCAAACCATCCGATGCATCGTCGCAGACGACGCCGGCAATGTGGACGAAGGAAACGGCATGGGCAGCTTGGTGGTTGCTGGAAGCAGCCTCTCCACATTGACCAGTGCATTGGAGGCGGAAACGGGGCTTTGCGGCGTATCGGTGTGCGTCCAAACGAGCAGGATGAACCGCCTCCTCGTTCCTCTCCTCCGGTGACTGCCGCCCAGCCACATGTACAGCCATCCAGTAGTAGTGTTCAATGCCGAGTCCAAAGGCGAGTAGCAATCTTCCTTTACTAGTTAGCTGAGTCCATGGTAGAATCCTCTTATCGTTGTTCTACATGGTTCTCCGCATCAAACCCCGTCGAAGGAAGAAGGCTTGGGAAACTTGTCAGAGGAGATTGTGCAACTGATCCTGAGGCTCTTAGCGACAGTTCTGAGGAAGATGAAGCAGATCATGGCAGTGCAGAGCAACAATAGTTCCTCCTTATGTCTGATAATTTATTCTTTTCTTTTGGTGATGTCCTGTAAATTACACATATTCAAAGATTCAGTATGCTTTGTCTATCATAAACTAAGACAAGATTGGATCTTATCTACATGTTTCTTCAAGACAAAGAAACAACACCAAAATTCTCATCTAATCTATCTGTAAGCTTTGCAGAAAGACTATGTCTACTCTTGCACCATTTATAAGAAGAAGAGGATGGGATGCAAAATGTTGGAGCGAGGGATAAGAAGAGATGCTCATATAGATAATATAAAAGATAAATTAAAACAGGAGCGGTTCCGGTTCAACTATATCGGAAATAATAATTTGGTTCGTTCGGTTTGACATTCCTATTTCGATTCTGAACTAAAATTGTATATTTTTATTTGTTTTTAATTTTTAAATATATTTTGATTAGCTATTTATTAAACTATTCGAAGGACATATTCATCATTTATAGCACATTTAGTTTTTTTTTATCAATTCAAACCAAATCGAAACAGTTTGTTTTGATTCTAACTCTTGAAAATTAGAGCTAGAATTGAACCGAATCATCTTGGTTCTAGTCTGATCTTGGTTCTAGTCTGATTCCAAAACATGGCTAAGGTTAAGAGGTTCTCACACTTACGATTATAACTTATAAATATTTATTATAATTTATTTATTCATCAAATTATAATTCAAAAGTAGTCATAGGTTTTATTGAGAATCATAATAATGTTCACTCGAAGATAAATCTAACTAGATCAACGTATCAGTAGAGAAGGGTCTGATTTTTATTGGAATTCGATCTAGTAGGAGGTTATTTTGAAAATAAAAAATAAAAAAAATTTCAACAACGCTAAGTAAGAGCCTCTATAAGTTAACTATAAAATGAATACATGACTAAAAGTCAATTATCCCATTGACATATATCATTGACATATATCAAATACTCGAATGAGTATTTATTTAACAATAGATAGATAAGCATTATCTTACGAGATAAGTTTATATTCTCCTAATAATAAATGAAGATAAACTCATATTACATTCTCAAGAGTGGATGGAGTGGTGTCCTTCGGTTGTCAAAACAAGAACATGTTACTCCCAATAGCGAATGGAGAAACTATATAACTATCACGTCTAAAGCTCGTTAATCCCCAAAGAGAATCACCCTACCTACCCTCGACAAAGGAACAAAATCATCTCATTCTAGTAATATCTATATCAGGGTAAAATAATACATTAAAATATTTTTTTTCAAACATCATTAATATAAAGTAATACCAATTAGTTCTCAGTTGACTTGAATACTAATTCAATCAGTCCAATTGAACTCAATTTAACTAGAATATATCTGTAATCATCATAGACTATATAATTTATATTAGATTGGGTTCAATTTAAGTTAAACTGACCTGTTAACAAATTTAAAATCACCCTGAATCAATCTTAACTAATCAAATTTAGCTTATTCCATTGATGTTTGTGACCAAATCTAAGAAGATATAGGCAACCGGATAATACTAGGCTACGTTAAATTAGAGTCCTATACTAGTCATGTACATATATGACTATACATACATCATATCAAGCTGGGCTAGCCTATAGCCCACGGATCGATCATATGTATTGCATATGACTATCCATGTTGGGCTAAGCTAAGCTGTCTTACGGGCCGGGGCTTGACCCACTAATTGATTTCAATTAAAACAGTCAATTCCCTCAATTTTAAATTGATATATTATAGTCAAGAAGATATATTTATTAAAAACAAGTCATTAAAACACATAAGAAGAAAATAGCATTGTAAATCAAGTATTATATAAATCTAATAAAAATCAAATATCATACATTTAATATAAAAAATTTAAAAATGCATATAACATAATAATATCAACGTGTTCTAATCCATAAATAAAATTTTAAAATTTAAAAGGGATAAAGAAAGATCTTAGAAATTTTATATAACATGTTTTAATCTAACAATAAAATTTTTACATTTAAAGGAAAAATATTTTAGAACTAATATAACATATTTTAATTAAAAATATATTTTAAAATATTTAAAAAGCGAAAAAAATTATTTTTGGAAAGGCAAAGTAAAGTGTTTGGTATGATGAGGAACGAGAAAGAGAAGAATCCTTTTCTATAAGAATTTTTTAATTTTTATATTTATGTAATATTAATTTTTATTTAATTTACTAATAAAAATAACACCACCGAAATATTGAATAGTTACTTCCTAAATTTTATTACCAAGTAACGAAAAAAAAAATTATGCCTAAATTAAAAACTTAGCCATAATAATTACACCTTATATATATATATATATATATATATATATATATATATATATCATAAACCTCCAATCTATATATGTGCTTTGATGATATTTACAAACCAAATACATCTAATACATCAGAATGAGAAATAGAGACACAAAGTATCTCTATTAATGAAGGGATGAGCGGAGAGTGAGATGGGGTGAAATGAACGCTATTCCGGTAGCTATATATATAGAGAGGAATAGATGGCGGGAAGTAGATAATAAAACCACATCGTCCTCTTCCTTTCTCCTCAAAGACCTCTCGTCTTCCTAAGCCATACTCTCTATCTGCCTCTCGCTCTTCTCCCCTCCGTTGGCACTTGGAATTGAGGTAGTAAAGCAATAGCTTGATCTGCCAAAATATTGACTTCTTCGGGCCAAAGACTTGGTTTCTTGGTTGCAGGGAGTCGGGCATGGAGTTTTTCGAGGGAGCGAGCACAGTCCGCCTGCGAAGCATCCACAACACGTACCTTGTGGCGGACGAATACTCGCAGCACGTGAGGCTCGATCGAGACGGCTCCTGTAGCGGTGCCCGGTGGACCGTCGAGATCTTCACCTACATTGGCGACCAGCGCCGGCTCCGCCTCAAGAGCTTCTACGGCCGCTACCTCGCCGCTCACCGCACGGAGACCGCCTTCCTCAACCTCACCGGCAAGAAGGTGTTCCAGGAGGCGCCCCTTTGCTTCGGCCCTCGCGTCAACTGGCTGCCGCTCCGCGACGGCTACCGCGTCCGGCTCAAGTGCGTCTTCGACCAGTTCCTCCGGGCCAACGCTGGCCCCCCGCCGTGGCGCAATTCGGTGACGGTCGACACCCCGTCGTTCCCCTACACCCGATATTGGATTCTGTGGGACGTCGAATTACTCGAGACGCCGGCACACCCGCCGGTCTCCCCGGTTCACATATGCGGCGGTGCCTCCTGTTCCTCCTCCACAGTGGCCAGCGACGCATTTGCTGCCTCCTCCATCGTACGCATTCCATTCTGCTTCTTGGATCTTGGATGTTCTCGACTGCCATTTATCGTGTGGTTTGATGCTGTTCTTGACATGTGATGTTGTCATGTCGTATCAGACTATCCAATACAAGGTAGCAGACGATGCTGGTAACGTGGACGAGAGCAGTGGCCGGCGACCGTTGACTTTTGCTGCTGGAGGGAGCATCGACATGCTGAAGAGGAGGCTGCAGGAGGACACAGGGCTGGTCAACATCTACGTGTGCGGTCGGAGTCCGACGGACGGCAGCCTCGTTCCGATCAATCTTCCGCCGCCACCTGATTATCCCCACACTCAGGTCGTGGTGGTGAAGGCCAACTCAACGGGTGAGTCTCATCCTTTCTCAGTTCTATCTTTCCTTGGTCAGCAATAATATCCTTTCACATCTACATGCATTATGATATCATCCTTCTGCTCTTACTGTTTATGTTCCGAGTTTCATCTGTCAGCATTTTCTTCTTCTTCTGCATCTTTGTAGCTGCAAGGAACTTGAAGAATAGATATGAACAGCGCTAGAGAAGTTTGATTGGATGATCTGATCCTGCCATTCCCTGTGAAGACCTCATAAAACAGCTCAATGGTTTGGATCATCTTACAAAGAACACCATTCTCACACTCCCTTTTCCATTGTCATGTGACATTTCTTTGGCAATTAGTCTCAGAGATCACCACTGCAACTCTGGGATCTAAATTAATGTCCTGGGAACTTTCCTGGCAGAAGGACACTGAAAACTTGGAGATGGACATAGCTTGCTTTTATGTTCTCACAAAATAATTGTGTGCATAAAGAAAAGAACACACCAGACATCTTGATGTTGATAAACATAAATAAAGAAATGAAGGTGCACATGACCTTCACATATTTTGTTGTGAAATCATCATTTTAGCACATCATAAGGTATTAAAACAGGCCAGTCTTATGCAGCTAAAATTTACATTGGTGATAGGATGTTACATAAACATAGCAGAAAACTGTAGATTTATTTTGCCACATTCCCTCTCACTTTTTCCGAATTAGTTGAGCTACATTGATATAATGATAGATTCCTTCACAACTTACTTGAAGGAGGCAGCTTCTAAAACCTTTGCCCGTTCACCTGCAAGGGGAGCATCTGATCTCCCCTCCATGGAATATGCCTTTTCCTGGAAAAAAACCATGCATTCAGATGTGAACTTTAATATCGTAGGGGCAGAATGGCAGATTCAAACTGTTACGGAAATGTTCATGCAAATCTACAGGTGTCAAAACAAAGAGTTCAGAAGCCTAATAGAGAATGCGAGCTTTATTCAAAATTATTGTCGAGGTACATGAAACCCAAGAAATTTATGGACTCTCGGCATAGCAGAGTGCATCAAGGTGCTCTCATATAGTGTGCTTAGAAAGAGTTGAAATGGGTTTTCAGGCAATGCCAAGAATGGTAAGTTATGTTATTTGCCTTGGCACAGGAATCAGTATGAATCTTGTGCCATTCCATTCTAGTTAACCTTGGGTGGGCAAATTAAAGTGACCCTTATGGCGTGAAGGTATGATGGTATATCAAACATGCAGATGGGCATATGAAAGTGTTGAAACATGCATTTCAAAGCTGGTTGAGAACTTGTTTGGAAAGAATCAAATAATATTAATATATACTCTTAGGGAAAAAAAAGTCCAATGATAGAGCATACCAGCAATTGCCACAAGAAAGGGGCTCCTCTTTTACAAACTTGCTTTTTGACCTCTTCGATTACTGCAGTCAGTACAGATAACTTCAGATCCTATTAACAATAAGATGATTCAAAAGAAAGACAGTACCTTTGGAAAATTGTCCAATATTCAACAGAACAATGTACCAAACTTCATTAAAGACATCAAGCTGTTCATCAGATGCACCAATCATCTGGAACATATTTTGAGAGAAAAGTTGTGAAGGTCCCAATAATAAAGCTGACCAAAAAAAGGGAAATTATGGATTCCAGGAGTATCATACTTTAAAGCCAGTGACATCAAAATCTGGACCAAGTAAGTCAAAAACACTTTGAAAGTTACCCCTTCCGTATTCATAAATGGCTTCTGCAAGCTGAGGTCAACAAAACCACTGGTTTGCCCAACATTCAATAGAACTGCACTCTTAAATAGAAACATAGTACTAGAAAGGAATAGTGGGATTTTCTTTTTAAGCTGCTGAACTTAGAATGCACCAATGTTGACAAAGGCACATAAAAGAACTTGAGGAACTGATATAAACTAAGCTAAGCAGCTTAAAATTTTAGGAATCAAATGAAAACAATGTGCCCAGGATATCATGAATTAGAGAATTCCATATATGGATGATCAAGACATGCATGTGACATGTGATAAATAGAAAAACCAACGAAAAAATAGAGACAGAAATGATGCAAACCCGAATTGCACTTTGCATTTGCTGTTGCTTCTTCCTACTCATTAAGGAAAACCTAAAGAAGATAGATAAGCTTAGAAATTTAGTATAATAACAAGACCTACTATTTTCCTGCAAATAAGAAAAAAATGTGGCTCAGTTTACACCTTGATTTAATGGATTTAAGTAGACCCTCTGCTTTACTTGTCTCTTTTGTACTAGCTAAGGCCCATAGTGCCAGGATATCAAGATGCCACTCAACATGCCACATAGACTGCAGGGAAGTGTGCAAAAAAAAAAAAGCACCAATTAGTTCAGCTACATTTTAAGAGGAAATGTACGAGAAATGTGAATCCAATTTAAAGGGTAATCCTCATTTGCCTATGTCCTTATCATCTTAAAGGGTAATCCTTACTTTATCTTCTTTCAATGCTACAATATTTAATTTATGAATATAACCATTACTTGTTCCATATTTTCTAATAACTACATGCATCTACCTAATAATTCTCACCAATATGAAAAATGAGCAGGAAGTATTAAAGTGAGCACAAGAATGAAATAAACAAAATGAAGAATAGAGCTCACATACAGCTTGGGTGGAAAGCAAAAAAACTTGACAAGCAAACTTGAGATTAGTCCTGATTTGTTTATTACGATTAACAAAAAGGAGCAAAAAGACCATTTGGTTTTCATCTAATCTCTCCATTATCAAATTATGTGCATGCCATTCTCAATATCTTCAGGACTTGACAAGCAAAAACCAGATTTATTTTTAAGACAGAACTTAGACCTCATCCTTGAAAACATTTGCTAGCAACATCAGCCGTTCTGCAATATGATGCATATGGTCCCGCACGTAGATCCGCATCAGCAAGGCTAGTGCATTCACATACACCTGAATGCATAAGAGAGCATTTGAGCATTCCAAACTGCAGAGTAATCTGTGGTATCCCATGGTCATACCTCTGCTGGCTCAGCATCACTTCTTTCCAGTTCCTTCCATATACAGTGATCATAAACTTCAAGAACCTTATCCAATGGAGAATCACCTTCCAGATAACAGACAGCAACATGCCACCAGTTGTGAGTATACCTAAAAAATAGGTCAAGTGAAGAAACTCAAACACCAGAATAAGAAGCCTCATGATGTTAAAAAGTATACAAAAAAAGAGAAATCCATACATGAAAGATGAACACGAATTCCATGTGGAAGAACAAGTTTCCATGAACTTTACAGCTTCTTCAAAATGACACTCATACTGAATAACATGGCATAGCTAAGAGGAAAAACAAATCACAGGCATCAGATAAAGAACCTTTATCATTAAGGAGAAGTCAGATATTGAGCACCCAAATACAAAATCTCTTCTGATGGAAAATTTTGATACAGAAGAACATTTAACAATTTAAGAGACGGAAGTGAACAATCAAAAGTCTGTCCAGACTCCAGATAATGTACAGTTACAAGTCCGTGGTACATGGCAAAGAGCAGAGAAAGTAAAAACAGTTGGATCTAGTAACCTATACATTTCATATTCTTCATGGACAGCTGCTCCATATGTTTCTACAACTAGAATAGACATATTGAGGTGTAGACAGTTTGATATTGCCACTTCAATCTTTCTTTATTAAAATATCAGTTCAAATGTATCCAATCATTGGAATTGTTACTTTTGCTACACTCTTTAATATATTAGTGGATTATATACTATTTCTAAATTCGTGTTTGAACTCTGAACAAGTTTTAAAAAGTGCAACAGTGAGTTTTACTTCTGCAAATTGAATAGATTGGTTGATTGTAAGCTACTCCTAGCGGGCAAAGAGTCAAAAGTGGCAAAACACATTATGATATTCTTTCTCTTGTTTCTCATTCATTGTCTGCTCCTTCTATATTCTTCTCTTGTCGTGTCAAAGAAAACAAAGGAGAACACGAAACTCGGAGTTGTCAATTTGATGGAATTTATCCAGTGCTTTCAATATTACAAAAATAACATGATGATCATTCAAGGCTTCATGTGACTTCTTCTTTAACCTTTCCTTTTTGAACATGCAACACCTCTCACAAAAACTAAACAGAATTCTGTGGCATAATCATTTAGTAAAAAAACCACTCTGGTCTGATAAATTAAAAGCTCAAGAGAGCTGTTGGAAGTACATTTCCTCAAACAAATCCTCAGATTATTAGATTAACTGGGATGACATGTGACTTGCCTTGATCAGTAATCAAGCAGTTATTTCTACTAAATAAAAAAAAGTCAAAGTAAATAAGTGTGCAGACATAAAACACTCAATTGATACATCATAGACATAGTTGAAGCATCTCATAACCATTAAAAAAGGCAATTCAGATTTGCAAGGTCTTTATTTAAATATGGTTTCATTACTATAATATACATGCAGTTCCGTTGATCCATGATTTTTTTCATTATTTTTTATAAAAAACTCTAAAGTATACACGGATTTTTTTTTTTTTTATTGCATTCCTCTTGAGTTTTCTTACACCTCCAAATGTTTTTTATTTATATGATCTCCGAGAAAGAAACTGTATATAGGAGCCTTCACCATGTCAGAACCATACCAAGAATAAATGGAGCTACTCTTTATTCAGTAAAAGTAAGAAATGAAGAAAGAAAAGAGAAGGGAGAATCAAAATGAAGACATGCTTAAACCTATTCATTGTTAAAGACTCTACAACCATTATCTTACATTATGTTGTGACCAAAGGTCACAGCTATTGATACCCAGTCCTTTTCTTGCAGCCCCCTCAGCATCGGCCATCCTTCCAAGTTCTAACAATGGAAAAGAAAGCATCCCATAGATATAACTCTGATCTTTGTTATATACCAGTACCTGCTGGGCATTCAGTAGCAGAGTTACCAAGCAATGACCACTTCAAAAAAAAATATTGTCGAGTCAGGAGTAATAAACAAAGGAAACATTGTCAACTAATCATCAAAATCCTATAACTAATTATTTATACATTATGAAAAATTATTACATCACACAGAAGAGAACCTCTTGAACTAGGTTAAGCGATAGATCGGGTCGACCCATGTAGAAGCACAAGGTCTGTGCCCTTTTTAGTGATAAAAGATCTTTAGGGAACTCCTTCAGCAACTGCAAATAAAAAATTTAAACAAAGAATCATCATAAGAGGATACAACTCTATGAATAATCAATCATTCCATGTAAAATTACCCTTCTACATTAAAAGTTGGTAATAAGTAACATTATAAATTAAACACAACTTAAACATCACAAAGAGTACCTCAGACAGATAGCTAACATTTACCATGTACGTTAAAGCATCACGTTCTTTTGTTATAAATCAACATCTAAAGCCTACACTGGTGTCTGATAGACACAACTTCATTAGAAACTTTGCATAATATATAGGGAAAGAGTAGCAATAAGAAGTCAGCAACGAGTCAGTGGAATGGATCAAAGATCTAAAAATTCGTATAAATGACCATATTTCTTTAGATTCTCTGTTCATTTTTGTCCTCCTGCTCATGTGCAAGATATCATAATAAGTTGAAAGGAAGCCCAAACTCCAAAAACACCATACCGAAAACGAAATCTAGAAATTCTAAGTCCACATTCAGAAAGTTTTCGAAGAATAGAAGGCTCAAAGATAATCCACCAGAAACACCTCAAAAACCCTAAAATGTTTGAACCGAGAGAAAGGAACTACAGTTGTATATGTTTGTCATATAGCTAAACAAACAGCAATGTCCAATAACAGTGTCATGTTAAACTTTAAAGTATATTGCTGCAAGTTTCACAAAAAATTGTGGGAAGTCTCTTTATGCAAGGCTGTGATGCAACCAGCATACATTCCAGACCAAACCCCTGCACTTGTTATTTTAAAGTTAGATGCATGGTTATCACTGTACAATGAGCATAGCTAATTTTGGGCTATGCTCATACTTTCGCACCATTTTTGTAAGGGATGGTGCCAACGAAATTTCTATAAACAACAACAATTTGACCAAAAAAAGGGTATGTCCTACAGTCCTAGGGAAACTTGTTGTACTAAAGGAAGCCAATTTTTATCATGCAAACCAGATTTAAATAGCAATCTTGAGTTAGCCTATGGCATAGGAAAAATACAATGCACAGAGAAGAAGTGCAAACAGAGGTAGATGTCATAGACGTAGAAGACATGAAAAAGAGGGAAACATTGTCAAATCCACCAAAAAAATTATTCTATTTTTCAGTCAGCAATATCAGAAAATGGCCAAAAGGATTCTGTTACAATTGTTCAAAGCAGTGGTTAGTTCATCAGGATGGCCTCCTCTGGTATCACTATTGGCACAAGTAGTTACTGGCTTTATACCATATACTGAAGTATTTAGGCAGCTAATTATCAAGAAAAAGGTTTGACTATAAAATTTAAGGTGGAAGAAAGCTAGTTGATGGTTTTAGATAGTGTCTCAAATCTAAGGCAATTAGATGGGGACTCGATTGAGGCTTTATGTTCGTCAGATTACCATTTCTAAACAGCACAAACGATTGCGTACACAAAACACTAAAAAGAAGTCTAAGACTAGGATCAAAAATCCAGTTTTCGACAAATTATCAAGAAGAAAGACGCAATTATAGCAATTAAAACAGAGGAAATAAAACATCACGAGCAAATTCGCGACTTTCAAATGAGGAATATCTACCACCAACCTCGAAGTGTCGATCTACCGCCAAGTCGTCGTCCCTGTCATACGCCATCAAGCAAGAGATCGCTCCGAACACTGCCCCCTCGTAGGGAGTAGCATTATCCTAAAACAACAGAAGGTAAACAACGTCGAGAGGAACAAAGGAAACAAAAGAGTTCGGCAAAGACTCAAGCGGACCAGGGAGTCGGAGGCGGCACCGAGGAGACGGGAGGATTCGGCGGGGTCCTTGCCAGCGAGAAAGTGGGCTGAAAGGGCGTTGGCGAGGACGCAGGAGGGGTCGTGGCGGGCGGCACGGAGGATGACCGCTCGGTCGCGACCGTAGGCGAGGACTTGGTCGTAGTAGGCATCGATGGCGGCGATGCAGGCGTCGGAGGCTGTCCGTACCGGGTATCCCCACCGGTCGCTTCGAGTCGTCGCATCAATTCCTCCGTCCATGTCTCTCTCTCTCTCTCTCTCTCTCTCCCCCGAGCATAAATTTATACGTATAGAGTGGCGAAGAATCATCTGCTTCGCGGCTAAGATATACGATTCGCAAACCCAAATGTTCACCGATGGGTCCCATCTCTCGTTCAACGTATCTGAGTCGGCGAGGGGTTTCGGTCGAGACAAGTATTTTATGCTCAAAAAATATTTTTGTACGTGTATGTCATTCAACCGATGCACTACCAGATTTGTGTGGGACCCAGAGATAAAAACACTTTACTTTTCCCTCGACGATCATGGGGTATTCGACAGGGTAACAGAAAAGAAGGTGTGCCTATCTTTTCTCCCGAAAGGACGCCAGCGACGTCTACGTGTCAACAACATCGCCCGATGTGTCGGCGCTCAGGTGGGGTTCGAGTTGGAGATTAGGTTTGATCACAGCACATTCAACGGCTGAGATTATCCATTAATAAATGAATCACGACCGTCGGTTGCTGAAGGGTAGAACGGG